CTTCAGTTGCTCGAGTGCCTCTCACGTGCTGCCAACAACTGACCCACCGCATCTACCGAGTTCCCTCCCAGTTTGTACTTCATGCTCATTGGTGGTTCACGACTATACAGAGTGTTATGGGACAATCCAAGTACCACATCGGTAATACAAGGGAAGGAACCCTTGTATATTAGTGTCCACCAAGCTCATTAGTACGAGGCCTTTTGGGGAGGACACCCAAGAGTAAATCCGTGCGGGCTTGGCCCAAAGCGGACAATATCGTACTAATTGAGCGGCCCGATTTGACACAGAGCATGAAATGGGGACGTTCCGATAGTCCGATGGTGATTAGTGTTATACCATAACTCGGCCCAGGGGAGCATCGCTAACCATTTTTGCGGCTGCAGATGGGTGAAACAGCAAAGATATTGCTCAAGGCACTTGTTGACAATCTCCGTCTCTCCGTCGGACTGTGGATGGTACGCGGAACTCATGTGAATCTTTGTTCTAGTCAGGCCAAACAATTCCTTCCAAAAGTGCCCTAGAAAAGGGCATCCCGATCGCAAACAATGGTCATGGGGATTCCATGATGTTTCACCACTCCCTGCACAAATAGTTCAGCCACTGTCTTGGTCTTGTATGGGTGCCATAATGCCATGAAATGGGCGTATTTAGTCAATCGATCCACCACAACCAGCAATGCCGATTTTCCTACAGAAGGTGGCAATCCAACCACAAAATCCATACTCACATCCTCCCACATTGTCTCGGGTATCGGCAGCGGCTGAAGCAACCCCGCCGGTCGAAGCGACGAGACTTTGACTCGTTGACATGTGTCGCACGAGGCCACATAATCCCACACCAAGTCGGCCATTCGAGGCCAGTAAAAATTCCCATGAACTCGCAGCAGAGTACGATTTACTCCTAAATGGCCTCCTGTAGGAGAGTCGTGAAACTCCTGTAATACAGTCGTGACGAGACACGAGTGAGGCGAAAGAATTATCCTTCCCTTGAAGAACACCATCCCATGGCGGAAAGTGTACGCGCCTGGATCCGATGACAAGGCCACCTATTTTCTAAGATAGCTTGCCGTACCTCTTCCCAAAATTTATTGACAGGCCGAAAAACGAGAGACAGGAGAGCGCCACCTATGCTCCGGGAAAGACCATCTGCAGCCAAATTCGTCGGTCCGGTTTATAGTGGATTTCGTAGTCATACCCAAGAAGCTTAGAAAGCCATTTGTGTTGATCCGGCATCGAAATCCGCTGATCCAAAAGGTGCTTCAAACTCTGGTGTTCGGTGTAAATGTGAAACTTTTGCCCAGTAGATAAGGCCGCAACGTCTGGACTGCCATGACAACTGCTAGCATCTTCTTCTGGTATGTAGACCAGGTTGCCTTTCCCGGTGAGAGCGTGTGACTCATATAATCGATGGGGTGGCGGTTCTGTGATAAAACCGACATCGCTAGCGTCGGCGTGCACGTCATGGCCCTCTGCAAGGCACGGAATGTTGCATCCACCTCCGCCGTCCACTCTAACGCTCCCTTGCGCAATGAGTTGGTCAACGGTCTTGCGATGGAGCCATAGTTTTGAACAAACTTTCTAAAGTACTCGGTCAGCCCAAAAATTCCTTGGAGTTTGGTCACATTCAATGGTTGCGGCCAATCAAGCATGGCATGTATCTTGGTCGGATAGACCTTCACCCCTTCATGCGATATAACATAACCAAGGTACTTGACCTCCTGCACCCCAAATGCACATTTTGAAGCCTTTGCGTAGTATCCTTCCCGTCGTAAGATGTCGAATACTCCCTTGAGTTTGATAGATGATCCGCCCAGCTCTTACAGTAAACCAAAATATCGTCAGAGAAAACCAAGACATGCTTCCATAAAACATTCCTGAAAATGTCGTTCATCGCTGCCTGGAATGTGGATGGGGCATTACACAGCCCAAATGGCATCACCAAATACTCATAATGCCCGTTATGTGTGCGAAACGTCGTCTTATGCACATCAGTCTCCTCCATCCAGATTTGGTGGTAGCCAGCACGCAAGTCCAGCTTAGTGAAATAAAGTGACCCATGTAACTCATCTAACATATCCTCCAGCATCGTAATAGGAAACCTATCCTTGACTGTCACAGTGTTCACGGCTCAATTATCCGTACAGAAGCGCCACGTCTCATCCTTCTTCCGCACTAACATACTCGACTCTCAACTCGGCTGGTACTTTGGATTGGGTTTAGAAATCCAAGCCGATCGTTTGGTGCCTTCAACAGTAAGTGCTTCAAATAATCTGTCAGCCTTGCACCTTGATTCTTTTCGTTCATTCAGCATCTTGAATTTGTACTTGCGCTGATTCTCTTGTTCTGAACCACTTGAGACCATTGATCAGCTTCCAATCAACAGAGACCTTCCTTTTGGTGGCCGTTCCCAGCTAAGCAACTTTGAAACAGGTGTCTTCGAACACACATGGCTTTTTTGTGCACTAATATGAACTTATATACACTGGGCACTGTCACGGAGGAAATTCTAGAATGGTCTAGAAGGATGTAGGTGCATGCATGTATCTCTAGATTCATGCACTCATGCACATGCATCCTCCCTATTTATTATGATTCATGTATAGGTGAACATACATTCACCATATTAATTATCATTCATGTATGGTGCTAGTTCATGTATGGGGGACTTCTAGATTTGTTCATTTATGATAGCCCACATACATTGTACCTTGTGGAGAGGATGCCTATATAAGCATCCCTCTCCCTCATTTTTCATTCATCTAGAAATTGAGAGTTTACATCTCTAGAGCTTTCTCCCAACTTGTGAGTTTGAGTGAATGCGAGCTAGACTGACTTAGTGCTCTAACAAGACTTGAGTGCTAAATGCCGCACGACCAAGAGTTGGTACGTGACAGCATCCTACCACACCTACTCTACACAATTTTCATTTTTTCGGATGCAAATGTTTTGCATTTCAAAAGATAATAGAGGAAATTTTGATTAAAAAATCTTATCCATGTAGTTTTGTGGGATATTCAATAAATGACAAGCCTATAGAGTTTTTGACAAATAACAAGAAAAGTAGAAGAAGATGTGTTTGAAAAGTTTGATGAATAATTTATGTTATTTGTCATTGTTAGAATTAGTGCATTCTAGTTAATAAATAAAAAATTAGTGGGAATGCTTGCATTATAAATTGATGTATTGTTTAAATGTTATGACTTTTGGTAGTTGTTATTTTAATCTCAGGAATAATATGAAAAAATTATTTTTTCAATGAAAAGTCATCTTTACTGTTCTTTTTTAAAATATAAAAGTCAATCATGCATAAAAGTTGATAGGGATATATAAGGAATTTTTTTTTTAGATTGTTATAAGGAAAGGTTTTCAAGAATGAATGATTTCAAGTGTCACATCAACGATAAAATGCATGCATTGTGTTTTATTTTGAACAAGAAAAGGATAGATTCTAATTAATGTGTGCATTCACTAAATATATCATTTAGATAAGCATATACCAAATGAGTATGGAATCATCTTAAAATCCATATAAGGAAAAACGATTGGATATCCGTAACCCTAAAAAAAAAGACGGATATGATATACCCAAATACTCGTTTCCCGTTGACCACCCCTAAAAGAAGTGCATATGTTCGCTCGAAATAATGTGAAAATATAAAATTCTATTACCCGTAATATACATACATGATTATAACAAAACTAGTTTGTTAATAACTGAGAAGCTCGAGTAATTGTTTTGGTAATTCAATGGCGATTTTATTTCAGTGCGTAATTTAGGTTTTTAGCCCATTAGAACAACCGAGTCATGATTTCTACATACATCATATGAAAAATGAAATACACGAGACGTAAATAGAACAAAATATCAGGCATAGACAGTACTATTATAATGTCGAAATTTCATGAGTCGCCGTAGAGTAGTGGAATTTCGCACGGGACCATCTGTGTTTGTGTGGACGCTGTGCAAATTAGCCATTAGGCGTGCTGCATGAACTGCACCCTCGTCTTTGCTCAAAGTTGAATGAAAGGCTGAATTGAAACGTGGTACACAGTGACCACGACTGTTCCTCCAATACCATGTTTGTAGCCATGCAATGAGTTGACGTGGACTCAAATTAAAACAATTTTGTCCGTTAGCTACAAATTATATCAATCATTCAGAAATGTACAGTAACGTAATGGTATAGACGGTTACTAAATGTTTCTAATTTTTTTGTTACAAAAATATATTAAAGTAGATATCAATTTAAAGAACACAATTTATTTGATTTATGTGTGCAAAAAATATATAAATTTTAACTTAAAACGAAAGAGATATAGCCCTTATATTTATAGGAGAAATGGTTAGGGGCGTTTCATATATGGTGATGTGGCGCTGATGTAGCAGGTTATGAAGGGGTTATTGATCACAAGATTATGCACCTGATCTACTCCCTAATATTTAAGTGATATGAATGATCTAAGTGTTGAATCGAGTGAGTCTAAATCATAATTGTGACACATATACAAGTGAGTTAGGTGGAAATACTTAAAATATTAAAATCGCACTAAACTCTTTACACTCTTTGAACGGTTAGAAAAAATTCACACAAAAACTCTTTACACTCGTAGAATTTTCCCCCACCAAATTGAATCAAACTTTATTGGATATACCAATAGTGATTTAATTTATCATCCCTAAAAGGTGGGATTTGAGAAGTGAGAACCACAGCAACAACAAACCCAATTCAACCAAATCATATTCCAAGGCTAATACTTGGACAAAAATCTCCAGACATCTATATAATCCTAGCCACATTAAATCTCCTTTTAATAGCAACCATGTACCCCGTCGTCCATACTACTGTTGCCACAAACTCCCACATGCGTCTCCTTATCCCTTCTCCTCCTTCCACTCCCCTCCTCTTCACCCACCGTCGCCACCGCCCTTCCGCCGCCGCCACCACCACCGTCCTCCTCCCTTCTCCGCGCCACCGCCGTTTCTCCCTCCGCTGCACAATGGACACCTCCGCGCCGCCGCAAGACGAGGTCGCCCACGACTACTCCCCCTTCCTCCGGATCTACAAAACGGGCCGGGTCGAGCGGCTCATGGGCACCGACGTCACCCCTGCGTCACTCGACGCCAAAACAAAGGTCCGATCCAAGGACGTCGTCTTTTCCCCCGACCACAACCTCGTCTCCCGCCTCTACGTCCCCGACGGCGTCAAGCCCAATCAGAAGCTGCCGGTGATCGTCTACTACCACGGCGGCGGATTTTGCATCGAGACCCCCTTCACCCTCAAGTACCACGAATACGTCAACACCCTATCGGCCCAGGCCAACGCAATCGCCGTCTCGGTCGACTACAGGCTGGCGCCAGAGCATCCCCTGCCCGTCGGCTACGACGATTCGTGGGCCGCGCTGCAGTGGATCGCGTCCCACGCCGGCGGGAGCGGCCCCGAGGAGTGGCTGAACTCGCACGCCGATTTCGGCCGCGTGATCCTCGCAGGGGACAGCGCCGGGGCGAACATCGCGCACCAGATGGCGATACGGAACATTGAAGGCAAGGTGTTCGACGAAATGTCGCTGGGGATGGTGTTGATCCACCCCTATTTCTGGGGGAAGGACCCGATTGGGGGAGAGCCGGTGGAGGCGGAGAGGAGGAAGACGGTGGACGGGATCTGGTACTTCGCTTGCCCGAAGACGAGCGGGTGTGACGACCCGTGGATCAACCCGGTGTTCGACCCGAACCTGGAGAAGCTCGGGTGTGGCAGGGTGCTGGTGGTTGTGGCGGAGCGGGATATACTCAAGGAGAGAGGGAAAGAGTACTACGAGGCGCTGAAGAAGAAGACCGGGTGGGGCGGGGAGATTGTGTTTTGGGAAGTGAAGGACGAAGACCATGTGTTCCATTTGCAGAAGAGTACTTGTGACAATGCGCTCTCCATGAATACCAAGATTGTTGAGTTCATCAATGGCGGAAAGTAGCAAATAACGTTGTTTAGGGCTTGAATTCAGAATGTTTATTGTGTAGGGATCATGAATTGATTCAGGCTTATATGTAAACAGTAAATTGATTCCGGCTTAATTATCATTTTATAAAAAAATTACAATGGACTGTTTCCATTATTCCTCAGTTGGATCTGTAGAGTTCCACAAAAGATTGAAATGAGAAGCTTAAAGGATAGTTCTCTATTCGGTTGGAATTCTTATCTTTCTGATATGTATTACATAGAAGGGAGATGCTTGTATATATACAGATACATGATTGTAAAAGTGGAAAGAAGAAAATGACCAGGGAAATAAAAGCTAGCATGTGGTTACTACATAGAGAGATGGTGGTGTGCAGTATATAGCATTGGTTGGGGAAAGAGTATGGTGAGTAAATGAGGTTGTCTCCTCCAGCCAGTAATTGAATCGAGTGGCAGCAGCACATGGAGAGGCAGAGGGTGCATTAGTGGATATATAATGGAGGATGATCAATTAATTGGAGGGTCATGAATGCTGTGGTATGGTAGTTTGTCAGATGGTGATGTGGTGTTTCTCAATACTCCCCCTCAAGTTGGACCATGGAGATCACGAGTGCCCAATTTGGAGAGAAGGAATTGGAATCGATCACCACCTAGACCTTTAGTGGAGATGTCAGCTACTTGATCACGTGTTGGTACTTTGCTTGGAAGAATGTCGCCTGAAACCACACGTTCACGAACGAAATAGCAATCCATCTCGACATGTTTGGTTCGTTCGTGAAACACTGGATTTGCAGCGATATGAAGAGCAGCTTGATTGTCACAATAAAGAATAGTGGGTCGTGACTGAGATGCTCCAAGTTCATGCAGGAGCCAACGAAGCCATAGAAGTTCGCTAACTGTACTAGCCATGGCTCGATACTCGGCCTCTGCAGAAGAGCGAGCAACAACACTTTGTTTCTTTGTGCGCCAGGAAATAGGTGCATTTCCCAAGGTGATAAAATAACCAGTTGTGGACCGTCGGGTTAGTGGACAACCTCCCCAATCAGCGTCGCAAAAGGCATTTAGTTCAAGATGGCCATTAGCCGGCAATAAGAGGCCTTGCCCCAGGGCCCATTTGAGGTAGTGGAGAACACGATGTGCAACTGATATTTGGGCTGAACTCGGAGAGTGAACAAACTGGCTCAAGATGTTGACTGCATAAGTTATGTCTGGACGTGTGATTGTGAGATAGAGAAGGCGCCCAACAAGACGTCGATAAGAGGCAGCATCTTGAGGAGATGCAACATCTTCTGATTCAGCGCGAGTTAACCGATGATTTTGCTCAATCGGAAAAATACTAGGACGTGCATCACTTAAGCCAACTTCTTGTAGAATATCCAAAGTATATTTTCGTTGAGAGAGTACAATACCATGATCTGATCGAGCCACCTCTATGCCAAGGAAATACTTCAATGGGCCAAGATTCTTGATGCTAAATTGACGATGAAGAGTGCTTTTAGCATATTCAATAAACTGTAGATTGTTGCCAGCAAGGAGGACGTCATCCACATAAATTAGAGCTACCACAAAACTAGAGCCAGATCGATGTATGAACATTGAGTGATCAGCACGAGACAAAGTAAAGCCCATGGAGAGAAGTGCGGAAGTGAATTTGACATACCAATTTCTGGAAGCCTGGCGAAGACCATAAAGGGATTTGCGTAATTTACATACGCGATTATCTCCGGCACTATGAAAACCTTGTGGTGGCTTCATGTAGACTTCCTCATCAAGATCTCCATGTAAAAAGGCATTGTTGACGTCAAGCTGATGAACAATCCAACCTCGAATTGCTGAGATTGCCAATAAACAACGAACTGTAACAAGCTTGGCAACAGGTGCAAAAGTATCATGAAAGTCAATGCCTTCAATTTGAGTAAAACCTTTTGCTACCAATCGCGCTTTGTATCGTTCGATACTGCCATCGGGTCTGTACTTGATCTTATAAACCCATTTGCAGTCGATAGCACGCTTTCCAGGCGGAAGTTCTGTGAGGACCCAAGTTTCATTTTGAACAAGAGCTGCAATTTCTCTCTGCATTGCCTCTCGCCAAAAATGATTACCAATAGCTTGATGAAAAAATCGTGGCTCAAAATGTGTTGTAATAGATGCCAAAAATACTCGATGTTTGTGTGAAAAGCAAGTATATGCAATGTGATTGGAAAGCGGATATCGGGCATGTTGAGCATTAGTACGAGTGTGAGAATTATGTGGCATATTTACCTAAAAGCCATCGAAATGGCCAGGTAGCTTGGGAACTCGATTACTACGTCGAATGGCTGGAGGAGCTTGTGAATTAAGCCCAATATCACCCTCTGGGTGCATTATTTCCATGTTTGGGCTTGGAGAGGACGTCTCACCATCAATTAAAACTTCTGAAGTAGATAATTGAGTGTTGTGGATGGGCCCAAGCAAATCTGGCCCACTTGAATTAGAAGACTCCATCGAGTGTGGTTGTTGCCGTACGGGTATCTCCAAATCGGCCAAGATGCGAGTGGCGGTGCGAGGCAGAGGGAGAAGGCGATGTGTCTGGGTTCCCGACGGCGCCAGTGAGGGCACGCCGGTTGCTCCGTCGTCGGCGGCAAAGGGCTGTGCCGGTGATTCCAAGCTCGGCTCCGAGGTCTCCACGGTTGGCTGGTCGTTACACGGCAGGGACGGCGGAGATGCCGCCAACTTTGGGGAGGAAGACGGCACCGGAATGGAGGCAGCTGTCGTCTGATTTTTCGCTCCAGCCGTCGTTGATTCTGGGCCAGGTGATGGAGTCGCCGCAGCTCTAAATGGAAAGATTTGTTCGACGAAAAGCACGTCGCGAGAGGTGTAGATGCGACTACTGTTGAGGTCGAGCAATCTATACTCCTTTTGATTGGCTGGGTATCCAAGAAAGACACCAGGTCTCCCTCTTTCTGCAAATTTATCGATGTTCTTGTGATTATCTCGAGCATACGCCACGCAACCGAAGACTCTGAGATGCTTCAGCGGCGGTGATTTTCCAAAAAGCACTTCATAAGGTGACTTAAATTGAATGCTCCATGAGGGCATTCGATTGACGAGGTAGGTGGTTGTGAGAATGCATTCACCCCAATACTTGATTGGTAAACTTGCTTGAAATCTGAGTGCTCTAGCTGTTTCAAGCAGGTGGCGGTGCTTTCTCTCGACTACTCCGTTTTGCTGAGGAGTGTCTGTACAGGTGGTTTGCAGCAAGATCCCATTTTCTTCATAGAATTGCTGGAGGCCACGTTTATGAAATTCAAGTCCATTGTCCGCACGAATACGAGCAATGGTCTTCTGGAATTGTGTTTTGATCATCCGTCAGAACATGACTAAGTATCTCTCAACTTCTGATTTATATCGCAAGAGATAGACCCATATTGCTCTGCTGAAATCGTCAACAATGGTGAGAAAATATCGTGCTCCACTTATAGAAACAGAACTGTAACCCCCCCCAAATATCCACATGCAGAAGTTCAAAGCAAGAAATAGTCTTTATTGAACTAATTGGAAAAGGTAAATGTGATTGTTTAGCTCGTAGACAAGCATCACAATGTGTAAGTTTACACTTATTTTGTGTTAAACTGCTGAAAAACTGCATTTTCTTTTCAGAGGGGTGTCCAAGTCTGGAATGCCAAAGTTTTGACTCATTTGTGCCGCTTCCATGTACTGCCATAGCTTCCTTCTTCTTTATGTTAAAAAGTTTCAAGTAGTACAAGCCATCTCTTAACTTACCCATCCCAATCAGCTTCTTCGAGTGTAAGTCCTGGATTGCACAAAAATCACTCAAGAAGATCAAGGCGACGTTGTAATCACGAGTAAGTTTACTCACTGACAATAGGCTGCATTTGAAGTTTGGGATGCCTAACACATGACTTAACTTCATCCCATTTGACAGATTGACATTTCCTACTTGTTGAACTTGTATTTTGTCACCATTAGGAATGGTCACAGGCATATAAGTATGAGAATCATCACCATTTTCCAGAATTCCAGGATTGTTAGTGATATTCTCATTGCCTCCTGAGTCTATAATCCATTCTTGTTCTGAGAATGTCTTACCAGCCATGTTGACTGCAGGTGCGTCGGACGAAGAAGAAGCCTTCGATGCACTTCCATTACTCAGAAATTGCAGGAGTTGGCGGTATTGGTCTATCGACAATCCAGGGATGGGGCTGTCTTCTGCTCCAGTGACATGGGCAGCTTTGGGACCGTCTCTGAGATCATCCCACCTGCGTTGGTTTCTCTTGTCAAACTGCTTTGAGTTTTTGGGTGGGTATCCCACCAACTCATAGCATTTCTCCTTGACATGCCCCAGTTTGTTGCAGTGGGTGCATCTCGGGTGTTCTTTCCCATCATTTCGACGTTCACGGCTGTCTTTTATGGCTGCATTTGCTTGGTAAGCTGCTGCCTCTATAACAGGTTTTCTGGTTGCTGCAATGTTTCTTTGTTGTTCATCTTCAGCCACCATGTGATAGACCTCTCCCAAAGTTGGTGTAGGCTTCATGTTGAGTGCTTGTGACCTTACAGTAGAGAAAACATCTGCAAGTCCCATTAGAAAGTCAAAAAGCCTTGCATTTTCACTTATCTCTCTCACCCGCTTTTCAAGACCACATGTGCAGTGATTGCAAACACATGTTGGCTGTGGTGTAATAGAGTTGGATTCTTCCCACAGCCCTCTTAACTTCGTATAGTAGGCTGAAACTGTAAGTTTCTCTTGTTGCAGAAGTGAGATGGCTCGCCTCAACTCATAGGCACGAGGTGCACTTCCCTTTCCGAATCGCTCTTGTAGATCAACCCATATCTCACGGGCTGTTTTCGCGTATCGGACGCTAGTTCTCACCTCTTTATCCATGGCGGTCTTGAGCCACCCTTTCACCATGGCGTCACACTGAATCCAGGCTGCGAGGAACTCATTTCCCTCGGCTGGTTTTTGTATGGTGCCATCGACAAAGCCCATCTTGTGCTTTTCTAGAAGAGAGTTAGTCATGTCGCTGACCCATTCTCCGTAGTTTTGATCGGTGAGTGGATCACTTACGAACATTTGACCAGGATTGTCTGAATTGTGCAGACTGTATGCGGAAGCTGCCTCCTCTCCTTTCATGGTGCTCACAATGGGACTCTCTTCTCTGCTTTGCTGGTTGCTTGTAGCTGAGATTTGGAGATCACTCATCATGTATTTCACTCAAGAAAATGAATGAGAAGGGAAAAGATTTGCAGGATTCTAGAGAACCTGCTCTGATACCATGTAGAATTCCACAAAAGATTGAAAGGAGATTTGCTTGTAGCTGAGATTTGGAGATCACTCATCATGTATTTCACTCAAGAAAATGAATGAGAAGGGAAAAGATTTGCAGGATTCTAGAGAACCTGCTCTGATACCATGTAGAATTCCACAAAAGATTGAAAGGAGAAGCTTAAAGGATAGTTCTCTATTCGGTTGGAATTCTTATCTTTCTGATATGTATTACATAGAAGGGAGATGCTTGTATATATACAGATACATGATTGTAAAAGTGGAAAGAAGAAAATGACCAGGGAAATAAAAGCTAGCATGTAGTTACTACATAGGGAGATGGTGGTGTGCAGTAGATAGCATTGGTTGGGGGAAAGAGTATGGTGAGTAAATGAGGTTGTCTCCTCCAGCTAGTAATTGAATCGAGTGGTAGCAGCACATGGAGAGGCAGAGGGTGCATTAGTGGATATATAATGGAGGATGATCAATTAATTGGAGGGTCATGAATGCTGTGGTATGGTAGTTTGTCAGATGGTGATGTGGTGTTTCTCAATAGGATCTAATGCTAATGATCGATTAATTAAGGTCTATTCTCCAGGTTAATTCTGAAAACGATGGAGGATTAGGAGTAGGGAGAGTTAAAACTAGGATTTCGAGTGGGAGTTAGTGAAGAGGAAAGGAGAGGGGAGACTATGGAGGAGAGAACAAGGAGAGATGAAGAGTCGTTAGGGTAAGAGGGAGGGAGAGAGATATGTAGAGCTATTGGATTAGTAACTCAAGTGATAATAATTTTCGTCCAAAATACCCCAACCAAATTTGTCCACCAGTTCGTAAAAAGAAAGAAAGAGAGAGAATCAAATTATATTGTGATTTTGCAAATACTTTAAGGGGTTGGCACCCGAAGAAAGCAATATATAGTAGCGGATTCAGAAATTTTTTAAAAGGGTGTCCTCTTTAAGAAAATAAATAATTAATAATTTAATTAAATAATTCATAAATAAGAAAATACATAACTAGTACAAATTTTAACAAAAGGCCACGACGTGTTTTCATATTTTGAAAAAGAATATAAAATATACTCGACGTCTTCACTGCTCAACAAATCTATATATCATACTCGACAATAGTTCACGAGCTGATCGCATATTCGAATTCTAACCTTGTTCTTTTATGTAACTCAAAGTTGAAAGACTCTTTTAACTCTTGCAGTGTAACTATAAAATCAATTCAAATTAAGGATAGCCCACAATTAGTTTAGTTGTTAGGTTTTGAAAATAGTTGGGGATAAGGAATAATGTTTTTACTATTTCATAGTGTTTAAATAGAACAAGAAATGAGTTGCAACTTCCTTTTAGTTTTGGTTGATTGAAGGAAGAGGAAAAAGTTCAATTTGGTCTTTGCTTTCATTAAACGTTTTTTCCTGTTTGGTTGGAATCCCAGCGAAACTTGCAGGAGAATGAACTGACTGTATTGTGGTATGGATTTCTTTAGCTTCGTTTCTGTTTGTTTGCAAGCTTGGAATCCCGGCCAGCTGAGAAGCTCCTCCGCCGACTCGAAACACTTGCCTCCGGTGACTTTGTTGGTCCCGCGGTCCTGCAATCAATTTTCCTCCGGCGAGAAGTAAATATCCAATTAATGGCCTCATTGGTCCGTTTATTTGGGTTTTAATAAATCAGTTATGTTATTTGATGTTATTGGGTCTTTAATGATCCGTTACAAGTGACTAATGAGTCATTAAAGCGGTCCTTTTATGGCGCTTTACAACATTTATGGTTGGTTTATATCTCAAATTATGGGATAGAAAGAATTAAATTCTGACGTCCATAATTAATTTCTGACTTTCAGAATTAATTAATTTATGGTTTTCAAAGTATCAGTGGCACAAGCTCCTCTCCTCGACCGCAATGCTCTTCTGAAATTAACCTTCCAATTGTGAAGAGTACTTTAGGCATGAGATTCTAGAAGTAACCCCAAAAGTGGAGATTGAATTAGTCTATCACTATGGAACTCCATGTACTGGTTGTCGACGTTCAACCAGGGTGTGATCGAAGCAAGCTTGTGGTGACCTTCGCTGGCTTTTTGGAAGTTAAAAGATGCAATTAATGGCTCATACGTTCAGTGTGGTGTTAACTAATATATTAATAGCACGGCTATACGAGTTTAATTCTCACCAAGTACTGATAAACAATTAAGTTTCTCATTTTAATTTTGGGCCTTATTTAAAGCCTCGTTGGTAATAGCCATATTAGTTAACGATGATTGATTTTTTGGATTTTGACTTTTGGATGTTACAATTTGATGTAGGGGAGTCTAACCCCAGACTTGCTTTGAGCATCATTCTGTTGATCTCATCAGGAGAATTCCTCTTCCTCGTTACTCACAACAAGATATTAGAGTGTGATGCTATTCTAAGGATGGAAAATACACAGTCAGATCGGGTTATCACTTAGCCCTGGAAATAACATTGGCTCCAAGCCAAAAACCGATAGTACATATCATCGACCCTCCAATTTGGCGGCCCTTCAAACTCGTGGAGTAAACTACCTTAACCGATGCCCTGTCTGCTGGAGACATCGAGAAAGCATTGAACATTTATTCTTCAGATGCCCCCTAGCCACCAGACTGTGGACTCTAGTGGGATTGAGCAACTTTATTGAGACCGCCCAGACTGTTAACTTTAGTCTATGGTGGCGACAAGTCATGGTCTTTGAGACCTCCCCATTCCACATTCTCCAATGCGTCTGTTTACTTTGGAGAATCTGGAAGTTTAGAAATAAAGTGACCTTCGAATTTTACCAACCTCATGTCTGTTCCCTAGCCAGACAGTTCTACAACCAGGTCCTTGAAGTCTCCAATCTTCTCCTTCCTCCTCCACCCCGTAGCTCTCTACTCCCAACCCATCCTGCCGCCTCTTGGGTCCCTCCGCCAGAAGACTTTTTGAAGATCATTTTCGACGCTGTTGTTTGGGCCACCGGGTGTTCGTCTGAGCTTGTTATACGTGGGTCAGACGAGCATGTGGTGTTGGCATTCGGGCTGCAGCATCAAGGAATAGTCAATCCCTACCTGGCAGAGCTTCTAGCCTTTAGAGACGCTATCTCCATCGTAGCCTCAAGATCCTTGACTTGCGTGATAGTCGAAGGTAATTCCGAAGTGGTCGTCAACCAAGTCCGTCAAGGCGTCATAGAAGACTCGATTGGTGGTCCGGTGTTACGAGAGTGTCATAAGATCTTAAGTTCTTTGTCTCATCAGATCCTGTGTTTGTATAGAGTTTAGGGCGGTATCTTGGTCCGCCAACAGTGCTGCCCATAGAGTGGCGCGTAAAGCACTGCTTTTGTCTCGTCTAGAGCTAGAATCTTTTGATTTTTTGGGGTGGCTTCTTTAGAGTCTTTTAGGGATCCTGGGTAGAATTGTAAGTTTAACTCTTATCCTCTATTGATATCACTCAGAAATAAAAATAAAAAAAATGAGTTGCAACCTAGAGCATAGGTTTAACAATAGTAGTGTTCTGGGTTTAAATAACACAAACTACCATTTATATTTTTTTTAATCTTACACAAACTACTATCAAGAGTAGGATAATAATTTTTTTCAAATTTTAAGGGTGTCCCGGATTACCAATTATTATTTTTTCCATATGAAACTGCAACCGAGGATTGGATAATCGTTCTTCCAAATTTTAGGGGTGTCTGTCCATGTATCCGCCACTGGCAATATCCATGCATGAGCAAAGACATCAACCTGTTAATATTAATCGTCCATTTTTTTATGCTTATCAATGATTGGGACCACATGCTCCCTTTATCTCTCATCTGCTTTTTGCTGATGATAATATTTTTTTTATCAGGGATACAATATTAGAATGCCTTAAACTAAAAGAAATCCTAAGTATCTATGAAGCTAAATCAGGGCAAGAGTGTGAGCGTAACAAAGTAAGAGCTTTACTTCTCTACCAATCTAACCAAGAGACTAAGACAGAGCGAGCAAGTCTACTAGGTACAAAACTGGTTAACTATCATGAAAATACCTAGGATTACCCACAATTGAGGGTAGAAAGAAGAAATTAGTGTTCAGGCACCTGGTTGATAGAGTGAGAAAGAAGGTTAAGATTTCGAAAAGCAGGCTCTTGTATATTGCTACTAAGGAAGTTTTGATCAAATCAGTTAAGACTGATAATTGGTTCGGTTCGGTTATAACCGAAATCGTTTAGTAGGTTTTTGGTTAACTGTTAAGCACATTTTACTTACCGTTAATCGTACGATTTAAATTAGTCGGTTAACCGTATAGTCGCTTCTTGGTTATTTTATCGATTAACCGGATAACCGTTAACCAAGTGAGTTGGCAAGGTTATACCAAAATAACTGATCTATAACCTTACCAACAAAATACCTTTTTTCAATTGTGAAATTTTCTATACTTTTTCATACATACGCATGTGTTCTTTTCTTAAGTTGTTATTATTGAATACAAAATAATCTAACATAGACATATAACAATACATAATCAACTCAATCCAACACAAGTACACAACAATATCATTCTATCGTCAAACTTTATTAAAGAATCATACAATGATAAGAGATCAAACAACAATTACTCAACTCGTAAACCAAAAAAAATTACATGGAAGCTTAATGTTACTAATTGTTGTCGAGCAACTATGCGCAAGTCTGAATTTCTATTGTGCTCATTCTAAAACCATTCCTTTAAATTATTCTCATTTGAGTCTAAGTCACTATTACAACTAGGATATGCAAGGGGTCTTGTAAGCCTTTAAACATCCCATTATTTTTTACCTATGTTTGCGGCTCATTGGGGTCTATTATTTTCGGCCCTAACTATGAGGATGGTCATAATTGGTTAGTCGGTTAACCTTTTAACCATCAGTTATTAACCGTTTAACCATCGGTTAGTTATTAGCTAAACTTGGCTACCAAGAATTGATTGTTTACTATTTAATCGGTTATCGGTGTAACCGTTAAACACTGATTCTGGTTCGGTTATCGATTACACCGTTAACGGAATAACCGTTTACCAACCCTAAAATCAGTAACACAGGCACATACTACGTATGTGATGTCCTTATTTCTTCTACTTGATGATATCATTGAAGAAACTCATACGATCATTGCAAACGTTTTGTGGGGACAGAATCAACATGAGAGAAGGACTCACTGGAAATGCTGGATAGGTATTTGTAAGGCTAAAAGTGAAGGAAGTATGAGATTTCATGACTTAAAAGATTTAACATGACTCTATTAGGAAAGCAAGTGTGGAATCTAACCCAGATGCCTACTTCTTTAGCTAGCTGTATTCTAAAAGCAAAGTACTTTCCAAATAGTGATATAATGGATGCAATTATGGGATATAATCCAAGTTATATTTGGAGGAGCATAGTTGAAGCTAAGAATCTTATTGGCTATTGCTGAGGGCCTAATGTGGAGGGCTGTGAATGGAAGCTAGATAAAGATCTTGGAAAACAAATGGATCCTATAAGCATATGGATTTCAGATTAAATCTAGTCAACCCTCAATTGATAGCCCTACGTTTGTGACTGATCTAATTGACTTTGAGACGTGACAATGGTTGTCTGAGCTGCTGCAAGCTTCATTCCACCCTACTGATAGAAGCAAAATACTACAGACCACTATTCCCAAGCAACCCTGCTCGGATAAGAGGGTTTGGGGATTGGACAAACGGGGATTTTACATTGTGAAAATAAGCTTATGCTAAATGGAAGGAATTGCAGGAGGCAGCAACAAGTGAGCTATATGTCCCAGTTAACTGGAAACATATATGGAGTCTAAATACCCCTAAGGTCAGAGTTTTTGCATGGTGTTAGAGCCATAATATCCTACCTACGAGTGGGAACCTAATTGACAGAACTAAGAGGGGATGTGAAAAGTGCCCATTATGTGGCTTGAAGGAAACAAAATTTCACATCTTCCTAGACTGTGGTTGGATCAGGAAGATCTGGCAAGCCTCCGTGATTCAACACTTGTTTAGAAAGGGTGAAAATGTACTTGTGAGGAATGGTGCTGCGAACTCCAAGAAAGTGAAGAAGTTGATGCGATTAAATCCCTAATTGTGGTCCTCTATTTCATTTGGAACGGGCGGAACAATCATTTGTGGAACAATAAGAAGAGAGGAAGAATGAGAAATCATTAATAAGGTTTTGGAATGGCTAGAAATACAAAACTCAACAAAGTAGAGAAACTCATGCAAATCCAGAGGACACTCCATCCATTGGATGCCCCCAAATCAAAATCGATTGAAAGCTAATGTTAGTGCAACGTTTTTTCAAAGAGGAGGGACAGGTCCGAGAGTCATTTTTAATAACCACCCAGGCGAATTACGACTTGGAGAAGTAAGGAGAATTCGATGGCAGTGGACGTCGGAGATAGTTGAGGCGAATGGGACTATGTTCGCTCTGGAAATGGCTACTCGCTATAGCTTCTCCTCACTCGATATCAAAACATATTGTTTATGTTGCTTCAGAAACTGTTGCAGGAAATGCGCTCAGAACTGGAAGTCGAAGAGATTTGCGAAGAGATTCGTCAGGAAGCGGGTTGGATTGGTAGAGTAAGGTTTGTGTTTACGAGTCGAGACTTTAATAGTTCAACCCATATTTTGGCCCATACTTTTTCTAATCGGAGACTGAAGATGTGAGGGCCAAGAGTCCCCTTTCTTCTTGGTCGAATCACTCTGTAAGGATAATGAGGCCTTTCTAGCCAGATAAATAATATAAAGTAGGCACTTTATAAAATAAAAAAAAATTATGGACCAACATGCAAAGATCAAGAACTGCGGAGCCTAAAAAGCAAACATCCAAATAGTGACTCAAGGGTTAATGGGTCACCCGTTTTAACCCGGTTTAGCCCGAAAAATATGGAAACAGTTATTATATTGTACTTATCCTGATAAATTATATCAAATCTCATCAAACATATGAGTTATAACATATAATATTACACCAAAATAACATATCGTACTTAGATCCAACATATAGTGAAAATTCACACACACTTATATAACATCAATATTCAAATGTTCAACTTAGCATTCCAAAGATTGAGTTAGGCGAAAAGAACAATCGGAAAATAGGCGCATTTCGCAAAACAAAGAAAAAAATGACACAATTTGACCTCCAACCCGATACCTTGTAGTGGTCGACCCAACGGGTGCATGCGACCCCTTTTTCTCGTTGGGCCAGGGTCAAAGTGGGTCGGTCCACGAGTCGACACGAGGGTTGACAACCTTGCCAGCAAGTAAAGTAGCAAAAGCTGTCGTTTCGTATACCGCTTGTTGTCGTTCTGATGCGGGATTTTGTTTTCAGGGGTTTAATCGAGAGGGCACAAGAACAAGAGTAGGGAAAGCCACTGGACTGGAGTAGGGGTGGGCAACCGGTTCGGTAAACCCGAACCGAACCGAATTAATCAAACCGAAACAATGCTATTCGGTTTGGAATTCGGAAGGAAAATCTGGATATTTCGGAAATCAGGGTTCTTTCAATCGAACCGAAATTCCGACCGAAAAAACCGAAATACTATAATTGCAAGCTTCAAATGGTGGATATTTATGTTTTTAGTTGTTTTTATACTTAAATATTTGAAATATTTTATGACTTATGTGTTGAAAAGTTTGATTTTATCATTGATTATGCATATAATTGCATATTTATTGTTTAGGGCAATCTCTATTTTTTATCCAAATCTTTTTTAGATTCTTTTATATTATCCAAACCTATTAAAATTCTATTAATTATCCAAATCTTTCATGATGCATCAAAATATTAGCCATTTGTATGTTATCGTTAATAATTTTGTAACTCTTTTCTTAGTTAAAATATTAAAAAATTTGAATGCTGACCTTCATGAGTCTCTTCCAAGTCCGTATCATTTTGCCAAGTCAATATTACTAACAAAATTGCTAACTGAAAGTTAACATTTGGCTAATTCTTAGTATTTCCATAGGTTTGGATAATATAAAAGAATTTGAAAAAAGTTTGGATAAAAAATAGACATTACCCTATTGTTTATATTAGGGGTGAAAAATAATTTAAAAGTGAGGAGATACAAGTAGCCTCTCAAATTCGGTTTTGTGTGCAAAACCAAACCGAATTATAATTTGGTTTAAATCGACCGAAACGAATTATAATTCGGTTCGAATTCGGTTTGAGGTTTAAACCGATCGAATGGCCACCCCTCGACTGGAGGAGAGATGCCGAGATGGCAAACGGAGATTTTCCGAATTTCATTACTGTTTGAGCAAGAAAGGGGAAAGAGCAGAGAAGAGCGAACAGCTCGAGTGACTGAGTCAGCTTTGGCCGTTGCCGAGGGCCAGCTAGCCAGCCGTCTACTACCTCCGCCGTCTCTGTCTCCTGGTCGGTCCACCGTGTCTGCTAGCCATCGCGACTGAGAATAAAAGCAGCCGCCAAAGGAGGCATTTCGGAACTGGTTGAGTGGTTTAGCAGTCTTGTTACTGGGTAAGAATGCTTAAATCTTATTTCTTCTCTGGTGCGCTGAATCAGAATCGATTCTCGGGTGATTTTTGCTGAGATGTCTGGTAACTGCCAGCTAGATGCTGTTAACTGTTTTGAGGGTTTCTATTACTGTTTGAACTTTGAACAGTTGTGAAAGCTGAGCGTTTCATTGTCTGTCCATCATGATGAAAGCTTGATGAACCAGCAGCTTTTGGGGTAGTATTTTGAATGTTAAGTAGTGAAAAAACTTTAGCCGCTATAGTTTTAGGTGATTTACTTTGTGTGTTACGGTTCAATGGGTTTGAAGGTTATGATGGTTCTTGCGTAGTCTTTGTTTGTGGTTGCATCTATTTATGTCATTGGATTTGGGAAATGGGAATCTTTTGTCTCAAGGAATTGGTTTTTGTATGTCATCGATCCCAGGTGAAAGGAGGGAGATAGAGGCTGATAAGTTCGAGTTGAAATTATTGAAAGGCTCCTTGAAAACCTAATTCCAGACTTCTGAGTCTTGCCACGTTGAGCTGATGGTGTCTCTGGTTCAAACATCCAGTTTTCCACTCATTCCTCGGTTTCGCTCTTCACATCCCGTCCTTGAGGAAGCTCGGGTTCCATGTCGTTCAGGGGTGGTAAGTTTTGAGCTACCTTTAGTTTTCCATTCTTTTTCTTGTCTGATTGTAGTGGCTCTTAATTAGAGCAGGCTGTGGGAATTTAATGACAGAATTAGAGCAGGCCGTGGGAATTTAATGTTATAGATTAGACTTGAGAGTGCTTTATCAACTGTAATAGAAAGAGTATCACAGTTGTTGATGTGTTGTTAGTTGGCGTATGCTTGGCTGAAATGGTAACTTAAATGTATCGTTGTGTTTTCCTAAAGAGATGTCATGTGGTGGAGCCACTGAAGTTTGAGAATGGGAAACCCTGCATCCCAGTCCTTCCTGCTGGCGAACGTTCTCTGCCTAGCTTCTTAACCACACCTCAACTAGGCAACATTGTCTCTAGTAAGAATGACACTAGGCTGCGGATATTCTCTGGCACAGCTAATCCTTCTCTCTCACAGGTATCTCACTTTCTAGAAGTTCAGATTCTGTTATTAGTTTCATTCCATATTTAAATTTTCATCCAGTTCGTTTGAAGAAAAAAATGCCTGCAACTTGTTGTTTTTCCTCATTTGAAATTTCTTTCTCCCAGTTTGTGCTCTCTATAGTGGTACTTTAAAAGTGTCAGCCTTAATTTAAGGTATTGTTATGTCCTCTACAGGAAATCGCATGCTACATGGGTTTAGAACTCGGGAAAATTAACATAAAGCGTTTTGCTGATGGTGAAATCTATGTCCAACTGCAAGAGAGTGTACGAGGTTGTGATGTATATCTTGTGCAGCCCACTTGTCCTCCTGCAAATGAGAATCTTATGGAGTTATTGATAATGATTGATGCTTGTCGGAGGGCATCAGCCAAAAATATAACTGCTGTGATTCCATATTTTGGGTATGCTAGAGCTGATAGAAAGGTACAACTGTTTGCTCAAAGTGTAGCTAAACAATTCACCATTGTTGAAGGCATAACATGTATAGAAAGAGAAAAATCTTCACATATGACCACTTTACATTCTTAATTATGACGGAACAGTTAGATTCTTCATTCTTGAACCACAGTGAGATAAGTGGTGAGTGGATGCTAACATGCTTTTAACACATCTCTATTCTATTGCTCTTTCAGACTCAAGGGCGTGAATCCATTGCTGCTAAACTTGTGGCAAATTTGATTACAGAAGCTGGTGCAAACCGTGTTCTTGCTTGTGATCTTCATTCTGGGCAGTCAATGGGTTATTTTGACATCCCCGTGGACCATGTATATGGTCAGGTGCTACACCTGTTTAGAACCCTGCTCTTTATATGACAATTGCTCACTTGGCTTTTTGAGGAGCTGGTCACTTCATTGCAAATGAATGAGTTGTGGTCACCGACATGTGTGGCCTGTCATATTGCATGCTGTTGTGTAATTGAACTGGCTTGTAGTAGAATACAGTGAAATGAATGTAAGTTCTGCTTCTGATTAGTGCTTGTCTTCATTCTTTGGAATAAACAGCCAGTGGTACTAGATTACCTTGCTAGCAAGAGAATTTGTTCTGATGACTTGGTGGTGGTATCTCCTGACGTTGGTGGTGTAGCAAGGGCTCGTGCTTTTGCCAAGAAATTATCAGATGCACCTCTAGCCATTGTAGATAAAAGGCGGCATGGGCACAATGTTGCAGAGGTAAGACTCCAACGTTGGTCTTCTCTTGTTTTGCTGTAATAGTGGTTAGGCTTACATGTCCAGAATTATAATTCATAATTTTAAGGTAGGAAAGTTTTACGTTTATCCTAGCCTCTATGTACAGTTTCACAAATTGACAGGTTTCCCTATCTTTCTTTGTTATTTATAGGAGTGTGGATAACATATAAATCCTCTTAGCTATGGGGTTGCCATCTGCAGCTATTTCTGTGTATGGTGTACATTTTTTTAAAAAAAAAAAAGTAATTTTGGACTCACGAGGTCATGTGCTTGCATTTGCTTCACTCTTACTGATGAGTGTGTTCACTAGTGATGTCTATATTTGAAATTGAAGGATATACAGAGAATAGAGTTTATCAGATTGTACTATGATATGATGCGAGTATCTCTTACCATCTTGTGACAATGTAGAGGTATTATGCCGCCTATCATCTTGTAGGTGATGAACTTGATAGGTGATGTTAAGGGAAAAGTTGCAGTGATGGTGGATGACATGATTGATACCGCTGGTGAGTTTGAGAAATCAAGCAAAGCCACTCTCGAATTACTACCTATTATATTTATTTTCTATCATAAGTCGAATGTTGGTGGATAAATCTTAAATGTATGCTCTTCTCTTGTGTTTGTATACAAGTCCATATCGTTCTGCCTAACTACTGATTTACTTCTGTTTTAAGATTTAAGAGTCTACAACGCATGAATGCTTCTTATTGCAGGGACGATAAGTAAAGGTGCAGCCCTATTACACCAAGAGGGAGCAAGGGAGGTATATGCCTGCACTACACATGCTGTTTTCAGGTACCTAGGTTTTTTTTTCTATGTGCATATTCCATCCCATGGGAGTGTTTGGCTGTGGATTATTTATGTTCTCCTACTAGCATACCCTTCCCAAATCATTCCAAAACTAATTCACATGGTGATTTGATTCTGCGTGCAACAGTCCACCTGCAATAGAGAGGTTGTCTAGTGGTCTTTTCCAAGAGGTGATCATAACAAACACAATCCCGGTGCTGGAGAAGAACTATTTCCCCCAGCTCACTATCTTGTCTGTGGCAAACCTCCTGGGAGAGACCATCTGGCGGGTTCACGATGATTGCTCGGTGAGTATCATCTTCCCACTTGCAACAAAGTCGAAGTAGTAATGCAAATTCATTTCAGCATTATCTACTACCTTGTTGAAGATAGACCACACAGAATTTGTTACTCTATATCGGTATCATAGGTGCGAAGCATATCCTCTACACTCTGGAGAGTATGAAAATTGAAACAAGTTATATTGTTTTGTTACCGACAGGGTGGTTTTGAACCCTATTCGAGCCTGGGCATCGACTGACTGATCAATCAATGAACTGTCTGTTGGCATATATTGGAAAGTCCAACGATATGGTAAGGGGCAAAATTGCTTTGCCCATACAGTGGTCCACAAGAGTAGAGAGGATGGAAGCAGCTTCATATGCAGAGAAGTGAGTGCAATGGTTATATGTGATGTTTTGTGTTGTCCCTTAGGCTGCTCAGAAAGGCAACAGAGACGAAGCGTTCGTCTCTTGGAATCATGAAAGCTACAATGAGGTGTTGTACTTGTTTGTACTATCATCACCATGAATAAGAAAGTATATAAACAATGTGTACGGCATGTCGACCCGTCATCTTGAGAAACTTGGAAATCCTCTCCATCTTTGATAATAGAAAATGTAGTAGTGATTTGAGTGAACCAATAAGCTGCTGCTGTGGAAATGCTGATGCACGCACACACGCACTTTGCTGTTTGAGGATTTTTCTATTTACCCTTTTCTCTGGACTCTGGAGTATGGATAATCTGACTTACCGGAGCTGGTAAAGTTCAAATGACATAGGACAAAAACTCGACACGATTATAAGATTGACTCAAATCATGCGTGTTAGTTCGTATGCAAGATTAATTTATGTGACGTTTGTTGAAAAAATAGGTAAATATTTGCTCTCAATGACACCAGCCTTAGATTGGTAATACATTCAAAAAATATTGTTGGATAAAAAAGAAACTGCCCTCGCCTATTTTCAGTATTTAGAAAGTATTTGACTTTATTTTTTATTATCACTGGCTGTGTCAAAACATCAGAAAAGGGCTCTAACTTTGAATCACTGGTCACTGCGAGAAGGTGATGATGCAATGCCGTTAGGTATCGTTTGGGGAAAAAATATTTGGAAAATTGGAGAGCCACCAAATTGCTTCATTGTGAAGTAAGAAGTCGCCCTTATGGTCATCATCTTGAGCCAATCAGCCCAAACGGGACACTAACAGCCAAAGTAATGCCATATTCTCCAGCCTGCCATCCATCAAACCAATTAATTAATTTATTTATTATTAATCCTTCCCTGACCTCCACTCCCTTTCACTCTCCTCCATTCCTTATACGGCACTTCACACCTCCAACTCCAAATCAAGCCCCCCACCAACCACTAAACTCTATCCCATCAAATCTCCGCTCGGCAATGGATTTTTCAACCTCCGACGACCACTCCGAGCCCGTCAGGGAGTTCCTCCCTTTCCTCCGCATCTACAAAGACGGCACCGTCCAGCGCCTCACGGGGACCAAAATCGTCCCGCCTTCTCTCCACGACCCCAAATCCGCCGTCCAATCCAAAGACGTCCGGTACTACTCCTCTTCCTCCGCCGGCGGGGATGTCATTCTCCGATCCAGGATCTACCTCCCGAAGCAGACCACGCCGGGGGAGAAGCTCCCGGTCTTGGTCTACTACCACGGCGGCGCCTTCCTAATCGAATCCGCCTTCTCCCCGATCTACCACAATTACCTCAACACTTTAGTCGCCGAGGCCAATGTCATCGCCGTCTCCGTCGACTACCGGAGAGCCCCAGAGAACCCACTCCCCATCGCGTACGAGGATTCGTGGGCCGCGCTCGAATGGATCGCTTCCCATTCCTCTGGCGGCGGATCTGAGGATTGGCTCAACAAGCACGCCGATTTCGACTCGGTGTTCGTCGCGGGGGACAGCGCCGGCGCGAATATAGCGCATCGGATGGCGATTAGGTTCGGCAAGGAAGGGATCGGGGGGATTGGATTCGCTGGGCTGGTTTTGATCCATCCGTATTTTTGGGGGAAAGATCCGATTGGGAACGAGGAGAAGGAATCGGAGTTCAGGGAAGGTGCTTTTGAGTTCTGGAAGCTGGCTTGCCCGACGACGACGGGGCCCGACGACCCGTTGGTGAACCCGGCCGCCGACCCGGATCTGGGGAGGCTGGGCTGTTCGAAGGTGGTGGTGGCCGTGGCGGAGAAGGATTTCTTGAGCGACAGAGGGAGGTATTACTGCGAGGCGGTGAGGAAGAGCGGGTGGAAAGGCGAGATCGAGCTCTTGGAGGCGAAGGACGAGCAGCACGTCTTCCACTTGATGGACGGCGGCTGCGAGAACGCCGTCGCGATGCGGTCCAAGATTTGTTCTTTCATCAATGGTTGACTTCGGGTCAACGTTTTTGGTGTTCATAAGAGCAGATTTGTTGTAACGCGGCCGGAAAAGAATAAGAAATGGTTAGTTGATTGATCTGCTGGTGGTGTTGCGTTGTCGGCTTCGTTTTACCGTTTTTCATTTTCCAGTTAAATATTAATATATTGCAACGCAGGTAAAATAACTAAATTGCTAAAATTCGCCATTAAAATTGTTATAAAGATCGATCTAAAAAATATCAAAGTTACACTTTTAACTCTTTAGTTTCTTTATTTGACCTTTAGCAAACAAACCTCACTTAGATTAAGCAAAGGAAAAAAAAAAACATTATTCAAGAGAGAAAGAATCCATCATCGTCATTCGGGAGTCGGAATCATCGATAGGACGTCTAAATCATGAGTAGGAGTAGCGACTTCGATGAGGTAAAGTTCACTCCAAAAATAAATAAAAAACAATAAAAAAGGAAATTGAAGCTCACTTGTGGTTGCACCACGGACCCATAATGCAACCGCAAGTGGCCTACGGTTGGCCCATGGTGAAACTGCAACTCACTTGCCGTTGGTCCATGGTGGAACCTCAACTTGCATTAGGTTGAGATTTTTTTTTGGAAATTTCGGTAGGGAATGGGCGACGGCGGGAAAGGCGCCGGTGGACTGGTTGTTGGCAGATTGGTGCGCCGAGAGGGATTCGGGAAGAAGGTAGACGAGGGGTTGGGTTTAAGGAGTTAGGGAATGTTTGGTTTGTTTAAATTTTGAAATTTCATTGGGGGTATATAGGTAATTTATTATTAGAGTTAGGGCGACCGTTAGCAATTTTAAGGGCGACGTTTAACAACTCCCATATGGCTTAGGTATCACTAGGGTGAATTGCAAACTTGACACCCATATTACTCATTTATAACACTTTACCCACCCGCATAAAAAACCATTCAACTTAGCCACCGATACTACACGTTTATGTCATATTTAGTCCCTCGTCATCTAATTCCATTAAGTCTGTCCTACATGGCAGTCAACAATTAGGTTTGACCGTTAAAATGCGGACGTGACTATTAGAAATAATAATTAATAAATTTTAAATTTTATTCTTTTCCAGTTCACAATTTTCAATTACAAAATATTATTTATGATAAAAAATTAACAAATATAAAAGTATTCTACTTTTGTGTTGTTCTGTCCTTCTCAAACTACTGGTGAGAGAGGGTCTGATGTAAAAAAAAAAGGCGACAGGTGAGAAAGCCTTTGTTATCAAGTCGATATCGGTCGCCACCAGTGATCCAAGCAAGGCTCTTGGGACGAGGGAGCTCAAATATGTGGTTGTGTCACCGACATCCGCAATTAGTAAAGTGAACAGCGAGGAGTCGAGGTCGGATGAGACGGTGTCCATGATTTCCTCGACTTGGGTAATCAAAAGGGCAGCGGAGAACAATCGGGAGTCCGGTGAGCTGAGTAGCTTCGGTGGGTTGGAGTTCTCCACTTGGCGATACTGAGCCCAGCAGCTCCGGCGCAATTGACTTCTCCGACAGCTTCGGGAACAAGTCGCGAGAGATTGGCGAGTAGGGTTTTCATAAATAATATTTTGTAATTGAAAATTGTAGGACAGACATAACGGAATAAAAAAAAAAAAGGTCGTTCGGGGTGGCAAATGACGTTTTTTCGAGACGAAGACGGAACCCGACTGTTTGAGACTTGCAAGATCTCAAAAAGTTATTCGGATTCAAAAAATGGAGGCCGCAAACTTTTTGAGATCTTGCAAGCCGCAAACCGCCGGGTCTCGCCTTTCGTCAAACTTTGGGCGGCCATAACTTTGTGCTCCAAACTCCGAATGTTATGAAATTTTTTTTGATTCTGCATAACTTTTCAAGATCTACAACTTTTAATATAATCATAATTTCAAAATGTACATGGATTTCTGAAAAGTAAAGGTAAAGTTATTCTCAAGGTCCCGTATATCCACAAATAGTTCCTGTTTTGAAAATTTCATCCTAGTAAAAGTTGTAGATCTTGAAAAGTTATGTGAAATGAAAAAAAAAATCGCTACGATCGGATACCCGAGTGCAAAGTTACGTTCGTTTGAAGTTTCGACCGAACTTTTGGACCAAACCGCTGGTTGGGGTGGCGGTTTTGGGCCAAACCGCCACCCCACCCAGCGGTTTTGGTCCAATTTTTTTTTTTTTTTTATAACCGCCCCCTAGGCCCGCGGTTTGGTCCAAAACCGCGCCCCGACAAGCGGTTTTCGACCAAACCGCTGGGTGGGGTGGCGGTTTTTGAAAAAGGGTGGTATTTTTGGAATTTTTTGGGGTTGGGTGGTATTTTTGGAATTTTTTTTTAAACAGTGGTACTTTTGGATTTTTTCCAGTAATATGGGTGACCAAGTTTGCAATTCACCCGATATCACGATATGCTGAAGTATTTTATCGTATCACATAAATCGTTAAAAATATTGTTCTCATTAATTTAAAATTTTCCAGTTTTAATTTAGGGTTTTGAGGGGCTCATGCACCCATCAATAACTAAATATGGATCCTTCATTCAGAAAATTCAGATTTAAGGATGGAGAATTAAAGACCATTTTTATTTTCACTCGTTTTCTTAATCGACTCATATCTTTTTCGTTTTAACTTGGATTTCAATTCTTTTTGCACAGATGGAACGAGTTCTTTGTACTCTACAAAACAAGATCCATTCCCAATATTTTTTGAGAAAAAATTTCTTGCCTCTCGGTACCAACTGCATATCATATGGTATCTTCTTCGTTTGTAATTCGCTTTTGAAAGTTTTTGCACAGAAGGAACAAGTTCATCATGATATATTGGATCTACAAATTTTTGGGTGAACAAAATACAGGACAAAAAACTAAACACAATACCACCCTGGTACAAGTTGGTATCTTGAGGTACACAATATTAAAAGTCGTAAATGACAGTTAATATACTTCTACTATCATGTATTCAACCATCCTATAGTCTTGGTTTGTTCATACAACCATGGTACGCTTTTCAAACCATAGGTATGTTCTTATTTCAATACCAGTCAATACCATATGGTATAGACTGGTAAAAAATGTCTCAATTTTTGTTGTTCCAAAAATATATTAAAGTGAATATCATTTTGTTGTCCGTTAAAGATTAAGAGGGGAAGGCGGTCCAGTGGCTGACCTAGCAGAAACCGCCACTGGAGGAGGCGATTTACTAGCTGACCTAAAAGAAACCGCTTGATGAGGGAGCGGTCCTAGGTCTTCAACCTAAACCGCTTCTTCATCAAGCGGTTTGCTTTGCTGACACACAAACCGCACCCCCTACGGTTTGTATGTCGTCCAAATTCATCGACACCCAACATGTCGCTATGCAGGGGTTTTGGCGACGTGGGCCTGCATGCCAGTTGAAAACCGTCCCCTCCCCCTGCGGTTTTCAATCAAAATTTTGCCTATAAAAGGCAGCTCCGAGAACCTCAGTTCCTCAAC